TTTGTGCACTGTGCCAGCCTTTGTGAGGTCAGACTGCCATACACATTGCATACCATACGAGTTAAGGCCTTTATGAACTGCGCTGCATTGCCAGAACATGCGATACCGCCCTCACTGCACTACATCGCCAGTAGGGCCTTCCTTGATTGCACTGCACTTCGTAGGCTAACAAAACTCCCAGGTCGACACAAATGGCGTGGGACTTATGCAGAAGAAAATGCTTTTGCCATTTGCCCTGCCATGCGATGGCCACCGTGGTTACATATGGTTCCTGACCCAGGCTATGTGTCGGGCTTAGCTTAGCCCCTTCACTCATACTCACGAGTGACTTCGAATGCACTGTCCCTCAAGACTGTTCATGCGCGAACCTTACCCCGCAAAACAGAGGAGACTTCTCTGATGCCGATCAGTCCAAGGTAACACCTGTCCAGGTAAACTGGCTCAGCTAGTCGCCAATTTCGTCTCCACAGCCTGCTGTTAGTGAGCCGACCTGGCTGGGAGCTCAGCTCTTGGCCATTGGTAGGCGGGTGGCAGTAGAACAGTAGATGATTGGCGCCCAGGTGAGAACCTCAGTTCTTTGTCTGTGGGAATCGGAACTCAGCCAATCTTGTACAAAGATGGCACAAGTACCATGCTAGGATAGGTCGGTTTCACCAGTTTCACCCGGGCCTTGCACGTTGGAGGATAGTGACTTTCAGAATCGAGCTATCCGCCTCATCGGAAAAGTGAACGCCCCCCAACGCTCTCCTTGACTAGTACTCGGGAGCCAATTAGGGAGGCCGCCAAGTTGTTTGCAGCCGCACCTGTTGTTGCGATGTCTCTCACCGCCGCACTCAAGACGGGCCACTGCCTCTTCGTTCGTGCAGTCATTTATAGTGGTTGTGCCTCTGAGAGGTTGTTTTCCAAGGCCTGCAAAGCATTGCAACTGATGACCTTTGGCAATCGTCATCTTTTATGCTGCAACTTTCGCACCAGCTACCCTGAAAATCTTCGAACAAAGCTGGAGTGCCTGTGACCAAGACTGGCAAGGATAACATTTCCCTTGCCTATACAAGAGGGCCACCTTTGATTGGCCTTCGTGGACAACCGCCTACGTCCAGATACAGCAATGCTTTCGTCGAGAATTCAGGCCCTTAGGTAGTTTGAGTCTCTCAATTTTCACATGTCTCACCTTAGTACAGAAGAAACTCTGCCCACATTGGTCGTTGGGGTCTTTGGTCCTGTTGCTTTTTGGGGTGTTTTGTTGGCTTGGTTGTTTTGTGTTGGTGTTTTTTGGGTTGCCTCCCCCACCAATATGCAGAGTTTCCAATCCTTTTATGATGACCTGGGCACACCGCCCACATGGCGTCCGCACTCGTGGAAAAAATAACTGAAGCTGCAGACAGCGCTCGCAGGCTGCAGGTCCAATCCACGTGAAGTCACGATCCCGGCCTCCAAGAAACAGCACTCGGGCAAGCATCTCGTCAGGTTTGTGGGGTCATACTCAGTTTGTTCAATATTGAGTTGTCGCAATGCAGTGCACTTCTCAAAAGCCTGTGGCCGGAACATGAGCAAGCCACCTCGTGGGTGCACAGGGATACCTAGTGCCCAGGCTGCCGCCCTAGTGGTAGTCCTGGATGAGTACAGATTGTACAGCCTGTACAGCACACAGAACATAGGATAACGGAGTTTCAGTGACTTCCTGTGGCAAAGCTGTTTTTGAAGTCACCGTCGCACCTCTGCTGCTCCCCCTCCCTCTGGGGGGGGTGGGGGGGATTCGTACTTGTTTCTTCGCTTTCTCGACTACATGGCTCCGCTGGATCTTTCCTTCGACGATTTGTAGTTTTCGATTGCTGATCCAGCTGTTTTCCCCGAGTCGGAATGTCTCGTAGGGTCCTAACCTCTCTGGAACCTTGTGAGCAGGATAGCGGAATGATGCTGCCTTTGAATGCCTTCCATGTCAAACAACTTTGTTCTAGCAGCCTTCCGACTGTGCAACATTGCCCCTCGTTTGTAGCAAGGCGGGCAGTTCGATTGCCCTTGTATCATGTATGCAGATGATTTTGTCAATCAAAGGGCAGTGATTCTACTTCGATGGTGAACGAAGCACAAGAACCTGATGATGACGTACTGGGCGCAAGGGAAGAATTCATTGCCCCAGGCCGCATCCTGTTTCACCGCTCTTCGGGCTGACTCAGCCATCCTGAGATACGAACCGTGCCAGCGTTTGGTGGGTTTTTTTGTTGTTTTGTTTGTTGCTTGGTTTTGGGGGGCTTGTTTGGTTGCTTCGGTTTCGGTTTGCTGGCCGGTTCACTTCTCTTTCTTTTACTAGCTTAAGGTGACTTGTGCATAACCTGCACACATAGCGCCTCGACTCGTGCAAAAAACACCCCCCCTGAATTATAGGCTCAGGAAGCCATCGTGGTCGCAGTCGTCGTCGGTAGTAGGTAGTAGGTCGTAGGTAGCAGTGGGTAGTAGGTAGTGGGTAGTAGGTAGTAGGTAGTCGGTAGTGGGTAGTAGGTAGTAGGTAGTCGGTAGTAGGTAGGAGGTAGTAGGTAGTCGGTAGTAGGCAGTAGGTAGTAGTAGTAGGTAGTAGTAGGTAGTAGGTAGTAGGTTAGCAGTAGGTAGTAGGTAGTGGGTAGTAGGTAGTAGGTAGTCGGTAGTAGGTAGTAGGTAGTAGGTAGTTGGTAGTAGGTAGCAGGTGGTAGGTGGTGGGTAGTAGTGGGTAGTAGTGGGGTAGGTAGTACAGTAGGTTGTAGGTAGTAGGTAGTAGGTAGTAGGCAGTAGGTAGTAGTAGGTAGTAGGTAGTAGGTGGTAGGTAGTAGGCAGTAGTAGTCGCAACAAGTTTAAACAAGCGCAAAGAAAAGGCCAGGGACACAGGATCAGATTAATAGGGGGTAGTAGTGCAGATTATTGATGGGGGACCGGCCCTTGTGAGGGGTACCCTGTGTGAGCTTGGCAAATGATTGTTTTTAATTGTTTTTGAATAAGGCAATTTATAGGCCCTGAGCCCTAGACATTTTTAAGGATTTCATCAAACATGTAGAAGGTAGTAGGTGGAAATGGTGGTGGTGGTGGTCGTGGTAGTAGCACGTAGCAGTAGCAGTAGCAGCAGCAGTAGCAGCAGCAGCAGCAGCAGCTGCAGCAGCAGCAGCAGCAGGAGCAGCAGCAGCAGCAGCAGCAGCAGCAGCAGCAGGAGCAGCAGCAGGAGCAGCAGCAGGAGCAGCAGCAG